AAACGAGTGGGAGATAAAGAGAAGAAAGACTTTTGTGTCCAAATCACTTTGATTACATTGCTCATTCAAGCTTCAGTTTATTTGGGGTGACAGTAAAAGTCTAGGGAGCAAGCCACTAATGGAACTGTGATATCTGTAACATGTACGGAAGTCTCGCTTTCCCAGGGCTGACTTTAGTGAAGTCAAGGCTTTTGTCATTGGATGGTATTTGCCTCTGAGATCTCGGTCAGTTTTCTGGTTTGAATTCCAGGCATTGGAATCTTGAGGGTCATTGGTGTCGCACATGCTTTTTCTTCAAGTTCTGGTGCAATTTTTCATTCCTTTGAACTGATTTTGTTCACAGCTATTGTGGTCCCTCCTAGGTTTGAGGACAAACCTAGACAGTGTGTTGAAAAGCAGAGACATTACTCTGCCTACAAAGGTCCGTACAGTCAAGGCTATGATCTTCCAAGTGGTCACATACGGATGTGAGAGCTGGACTGTAGAGAAGGCAGAAAGCCGAAGAATTGATGCTTTCAAACTATGGTGCTGGAGAAGACTCCTGAAAGTCCCTTAGACAGCAAGGTGATCAAACCAGTCAGTCTTAAAGAAAATCAACCCTGAATATTCATTGGAAGGACTGATGCTGAAGCTGAAGCTCCAGTATTTTGGTCACCTGATGCAAATAGCTGACTCATTGGAAAAGTTTCCCTGCTGCTGGGAAAGACTGAGGGCAGAAGGAGAAGAGGGCATCAGAGGATGAGATGGCTGGATGGCATCACTGATGCAATGGACATGAACTTGGGCAAACTCCGGAAGGCCTCCCTGCCTGTCCATGGGGTCACAAATGGTTGGACACTGGTGGGCAACTGAACAACAGCAGCACTGTGGGCCCTGCCTTCTCTTGCTGCTCAGCATCTTCAGACTTGGTGCCAGGCTTTCCTCTGTTTCCCCAGCCTTGAAGAAGTGGTCCCCTAAACTCCCACAAACAAGAGATTAGCACTTTTTTGGAGCCAACTTTAGATAGCTTGACATTCCAATAAAGAGAGCTTAATATAGAATGTGGCAGAGACTGGCTAACTAGTCACTTTACCAGTTTCCTCGTCCTCTTAGCCACATATTGGGATTGCATCGCCCAGGCTCCTTTGCACTTGTGAAATTTGTAACCATATGACTGAATTCTGGGCAATAGAATGTAGGTAGAAGTGATGTCTGATGCTTCTAGGACTGGCCCATGAAATTCCTACACAACCCTCCACGTCCTTGCTCTTCCCTTGACTGATGGTGGGATTTAAAATCTGCCACTAGGTATGGTGGGGAGATCTACACACCTGAAAATGTGCTATTTGATACCAAGGCTCCTATAACTGCTTTGGAACCCATCCATTCCATCTGCTAAACATTAGAAAAGCCCAGATAAATTATAAACACTTACTTTGATCTGTGTTTTCTACAATTTAATAAGAGTACCTTGGGTGAATTGGGTCACATTCCTTAGAAGGAGGTCCTTTGCTCTAAAAAAAACCATAAAAGGTGGTGGAAAAGATATGGAGGGATTCTTGCCATTTAGGAGCACAGTATGCAGAGGTCAATTGTGTGCGGAAAAAGCTGAGGTAGGTTGCATTCAAGTTCATAACTCCTTACTCCTCCTTTTATCTTTGTGTTTTACCATTTGACTTTTAAAAAATCATTCTAATTTATTTCCAGCTTTATTGAGGTATAATTAACAGATGAAAATTGCATATATTTAGGGTGTACAATGGGACTTTTTAAAGGTGTACCATGTGATGTTTTAACATATACATTTATTTTGAAATGATTTCCACAATCAAGTTAGTTAACACATTCACTGCCTTCAAGTATACAAGACAGCATTATTTACATGTAATCACCATGCTGTATGTTAGACTCCCAGAAGTTATGCTTTCAGTAACTGAAGGCTTGTGCACTTTGACCAGCATCTCTCCATTTCCTTCATCCCTCAGCCCTGGCAACCTTCATTCTATTCTCCAATTCTGTGAGTTTGACTCTTTGAGATTCTACCTCTAAGTGACATTGTATAGTGTTTGTCCTCTGTGTCTGACTTATTTCACTTAGCAAAATGTCCTCCAGGTTCATCCATATGTCTTCATTCAACTTTGTAGTTCCTTTTTCCAGTAGCAGAGGGTGCTTCTCTGCCCTAATACATATGTATGTATATTTAATTAGAGTATAACTGCTTTACAATGTTGTGTCAGTCTATGTGTATACATATGTCCCCTCCCTCTTGGACTTTCCTCCCACCGCCATCCCCCATCCTACCCCTCTAGACCCTTACAGACCACCTGGCTGAGCTCCCTGGGCTATGCGGCAGGTTCCCACTAGCTGTCTCACACATGGCAGTGTATATTAGTCAGTCCTCATCTCCCGATTCATTCCACACTCTCCTTCCCCCTCTGCGTCCACATGCTCATTCTCTATGTCTGTGTGTTTGTTCCTGCCCTGCAAATAGGTTCATCTGTGTCTTCTTTTTAGATTCCACATATATGTGTTAATGGGCTTCCCAGGTGGTGCTAGTGGTAAAGAAACTGCCCGCCAATGCAGGAGATGTAAGAGATGCAGGTTCAATCGCTGGGTCTGGAATATCCCCTGGAGGAGGGCATGGCAACCGACTCCAGTATTCTTGCCTGGAGAATTGCATGGACAGAGGAGCCTGGCAGACTACAATCCATAGGGCTGCAAAGAGTTGGACATGACTGAAGCAAATTAGCATGCATGCATATGTATTAATATATGATGTTTGTTTTTCTGTTTCTGACTTACTTCACTCTGTATGGCTGACTCTGGGTCCATCCAAATCTCTACAGATGGCCCAATTTTGTTCTTTTTAATGGCTGAGTAATATTCCATTGTATGTATGTACCACATCTTCTTTATCCATTCATCTACTGATGGACGTATGGTCACCTAATCTATAACAACGGAGGCAAGAATATACAATGGAGAAAAGACAGTCTCTTTAACAAGTAGTGCTGGGAAAACTGGACAGCTACATGTAAAAGAATGACATTAGAACACTACCTAACACCATACATAAAAATAAACTCAAAATGGATTAAAGACCTAAATCTAAGACCAGACACTATAAAACTCTTAGAGGAAAACACTCTTTGACATAAATCACAGCAAGATCCTTTTGGCTCACTTCCTAGAGTAGTGAAAAGAAAAACAAAAATAAACAAACGACCTAATTAAACTTAAAAGCTTCTTCATGGCAAAGGAAACCAGACACAAGATGAAAAGACAGCTCTCAGAAAGGGAGAAAACATTTGCCCTTACTTTTTGAACTCAGCTGTGTGGTTTGCTTTGGCCAAGGGGATGCAAGGCAAGGCTTTACATGTGTCTGAGTGTTGGGTATGCTCCCTGGTGCTTTTGCCATCACTGAGGAGAATATGCCCTGTCGAGTCTACTGCTGAGACCAGGAGAGATGTATGAGGCTGACCTGGATCCTACCTGGAGTCCAGAACCAAGCCCTGCCGAGCTCATGCTAGATCAGCTTACCCCCAGACAACCCACAGGTACGTAACTGAGAAGAAATAATTATTTTATAAAACCACTATGGTTTTTGTTTTTATTTTTTTTAGTTAAAATTCACCTAAAATTCAGCATGTTAACCATTTTGAAGTATCCAATTCAGCAGTGTTTAGTACATTCATAGTGTTATGTAAGTATCACCACTACCTAGTTCTAGCATTTTCATCACTCCTGAAGGTGCTGTGCTGAGTCTGCATTTGGGGGACTCCTTTCAAATAAGCGAATGGAGTATGGTTGTTTTGAGAATTCCCCTATAGTGCCCCCAGTACATGTTATTAACTGCCACTGCACATGAGCTAACTCCCAATTATTATTCACTGTGATTCTCAATTATATACCAATGAGGTTTGGGAATGCTAAGATTTGTTGTTTTTGTTCAGTTGCTAAGTTTTGTCTGACTCTTTGTGACCCCATGGACTGCAGCATGCCAGGCTTTCCCTGTCATTCACTATCTCACTTGCTCAGATTCATGTCTATTGAGTCAGTGATGCCATCCAACCATCTCATCCTCTGCCACTACCTTCTCTTGCCCTCAATGTTTCCCAGCATCAGGGTCTTTTCCAATAAATTGGCTCTTTTTTATCAGGTGGCCAAAGTTTTGGAGCTTCAGCATCAGTCCTTCCAATGAATATTCAGGGTTGATTTCCTTTAGGATTGACCAGTTTGATCTCCTTGCAGTCCAAGGGACTCTCAAGAGTCTTCTCCAGTACCACAATTTGAAAGCATCAGTTCTTCAGCTCTCAGCCTTTTTATAGTTCAACTCTCACATCCATACATGACTATTGGAAAAACCATAGCTTTGACCATAATGAGCTAAGATGAGTAAGCATCTTACTTCAATAATTCCTTGTATAATGATAATTATCAGGGAGACAAAAGGAGCTCTGTTAACCTTCAGGCTCATATCTCTAGTCATTTGTTTTCATTCCCCATGTGCAGCCTGCCTGGCTCCCAGAACAGAACTTAAGATGGTAGTGACGGTTCCCCTCTGAGGGTGGTGACCGCCTGAAGCATCCTCTGGGCCCTTCATCCACAGCTGAATAAAACCGGGCAGGTTTCTTAATTGTTTTGCCCCTCAGTCTCCTCCCCACTAAAATGGAGATAACAGTAGAACCTGCCTCAGAGGGATGTGGTGAGGATTTCCACGGTTGGCATCTGAAGCAATTAGAATTGTCCCTGGCACACAGCAAGCTCTGTGTAAACATTTGCTAACTGAATATTAAGAAGTCTGGCTGTAAAGGGTCATCTGCATGGAAGTGGCTGGCTTGGCTGGAGCCTCAGTTCCTGTCTGGATCCTCTTCATCCTAAATGTCTTTCATAACCTTCCTTCTTGACTCTTCCCGACTCTGGGAGATGGGGGAGCAGCTCACTTCATTAGAACCTTTTGGGGTGTAAGGTGAATCCTGCATTATTCTGTCACAGAGCCTTCCCTTCCTCCTCCATCTGAGCTTGAGGGAGCCAAGTTACCAGTGGATCTTTCCCTGGAGCAGTGAGGAGCCCACACAGAGGTTTGGCATATACCACTATTATAGCATGAATCAGATCTATCATTTACCTAATGTAAAACCTCAAGAAAGGTTTTCATCAGAGGGGCGTTAAGTCACCAGTTTCTTCCCAGCTTGTTCATTACATAGTCTGTTTAGAGAACTCCCTGGAAAGAAAACAAATGGTTCACCTTGATTTTTTCCATTCCTTTATTTTTATTGTTGAAGTTTAATACAGGAAAGCTTTGCTTTCCTATTCCGGTGCTGTCATCTGATAACGGCACAACTGATTTATGGTGGGAGAGCCTGGAGGTGAATTATTTATTCTTCCCATGTAAAGGATTAGCTAGTTCCACTTTTAATGGATTTTTGTTTCGATGTGTTTATGAGTGTTCAGATGGATTGAGAAGTCCTCTGACCTCCAATATCATATCATGCAAGGCTATTTGCAAATCACATTAGAAGTCTGAATTTAAACTGATGAAAGCAAAGACATGAAGAGTTATAATATTGAGTCTGTGACCCTAGAGATTTTTCTTAATTTATACTCTTGTGTCCCAGAAGGAATATATAGATGTGAGAACAGAGACAGAGCCCAGAAGACTGTATTAAGTTAGCAGGTTTCCGACCTTCTAGGCACAGCTATCCATCTCCAAGCCTCCTTCATCCCACAGCAAATAGGGGAAAAAAAAGCTGGGAGGGGAGGGGACAGACAGTTCTAGATGCTGAACTTCTTGGGCGTCAACTTCAACTAAATAGCACTGGCAGGTGAATCCACTCTTTAGATGGTAATAAAACCAGATGTTCTTTTCATTTAAAAGAAAAGTAGGTTATCTGTCTATCTTATACCTATATTTATTTTGAAAGACCATGAAATTTTTACAGTAAGATGTTTTCCCTTCATTCCGTTTCCTCCCTCTCCCATCTGCCTAATTCTCCATTCTTTGCCATGGGAATCATTCCTTTGGTTTTCTTCATACATACCTATCCAGAGTTCTTAATGTAAAACAAATGCACATATATGTTCTTATCCTCTTTTCCCTCGCTTTTATGCCAAGTTTGGAATGCTTTATACTTTATTCTTTTGTCCCTAATGACTTGACTTAGTAATGTATCTCGGAGGTCTTCTCACAAAATTACATAGAAATATTCCTTATTCAAAATTTGTTCATGGCTGTATAATATTCACATTCTATGCTTGTACCAAAGTTTATCTAATGGCTCTCCCTATTGATAAGATGCTTGGTTTGATCCCCATTTTGCCATTTCAACAAGTCTGCAAAGAATAACCTTGTACATATGTATATCACATGGATGTGATTTAATCTGTAGAATAAATTCTCCAGTGTGACTTTCTGGGTTGAAAAGTATTTGTATTTGTCATTTTGATAGAGAGTGTCTGAATTTCCCTCTGTGGGAGTTGTGTTCTTACATCCCCATCGGCAATGCATGAGAGACCGTATTCTCTAAGTGTGTGTGTGTATGTTTGTGTGTGCAAGAGAGAGAGAAAGAGGGAGAGGGAGAGATGGGGTTTTAATTTGAAAGTTGTGATAGTATTTAAATAAGAGGCATGAAGTGAGAGAAGGAAGTGAGAGGGGCCCTTCTGGATTCCCCATAATGTGAACAAGAAGCAACAGTGACTAGATAGCAATAATAACACTGATAGCTAATATTTATATAGCACTTATGTGTTTGGCACTAAATGCGCTACTGTATTCACTGATTATTAGATTAGACATGGCTCATTTCCATTTGATTGTCTTCTGATTTAAAAAAAGGATTGAGTAGTGACTATGTGCCAGACACTCTGTTAGGTGTTGGTTGAGGTAATTTTTGTTGACAGAAGTCCTGCCAAGTGTCACCGAAAAGGGAATTTGGGGAGAAGTGCTTACTTACAAGAAGCTTCTTTAGTAAATACCAGCACTGATTCTGCTTCAGGTGCTGTATGATGTCTCTCAAGAAGGTTTGCCTTGGGAGCTGGGACACAAGGCAAGGTGTGTGGTTGACTCACCTGGTGTATGATGAAATCCTAATAGCTGCTTTACAGTACACATGTACTGGTGATTTGTTTGTTTCCTGTTTCTTTGTTTAATAATTATGGTTTGAGGCTAAAGATGTGGGAATGGGAAAGGAAGATTTTGATTTTGTGTGAGCATGTGTGTATGTGGCGATACTAAACTGAGAAATAAATCCAGTTCAAATACATATCAGGTTTCATCAATACCTGGCAGTTATAATGAGCACTTGCAATGTCTCACTGCAAAGGAATATTGAGAAGGCAAAAAAATTGGAATGCATATATACAGAAATTATCTTCCAGACCTGCAGGCAAATATACTGGAGTTGGATGGCAAAAAAAAAAAAAATAAAATTCAGAATCAAGAACTAATTAACATTGAGAGCAAGTGTCTCCCATTATTTTCTACCTTTTCTCTCCTTTTTCCCTCTGCTCTAGGTCATCTTGGGCTTCCCTGGTGGCTCAGTGGTAAAAAAAATCTGCTTTCAATGTGGTAGACCCAGATTTGATCCCTGAGTCAGGACGGTCCCCAGGAGAAGGGAATGGCAACCCACTCTGGAATTCTTGCCTGGGGAATTCCATGAACAGAGGAGGCTACAGTCCATGGGTTGCAAAGAGTCAGACACGACTGAGTGACTAACATACATAAGTTATCTTCAAGATTACTCCAGAACTCTGTTGTCTTCACTCCTGTCACTGGCTTCCGAAGAGTGTCCTGTCACCTGGGCTAGCCTCCCTTCCTGATCCCCAGAGGTTCTGTTGTGATGGAAGATGACTTCAGTCTTTGTTCATCTGCACAACCCACATGACAGGGCTGTGATATCAGCAATATCCTCATCTTCAGGATGGAGTTGAATAATGGAGGGGGTTTTAGGATGGGTCAATTATGGGTGAGTGTTAGACAGTGGGAAGTTTTAGGGACGGTATTAATAGCCAGGGAAAGTGTTTGTGGTAGGAGAATAGTCTTCTGGAGTTATGGATGCTATTTGGAAATAGAAATATAGCTGGGAAAATAACTTACAGTAGTTGAAGATTTTTCCAACTCAGAAGCATAGCATTGAGTTCTGACTGCAGAAATCTGGTTAAATACTGTTTCAGTCAAGGTCCATTCAAGTTAATATAAAGCACAATAGATATTTCAAAAAGTGGGAGATTCAACAGAGGTTCATGGGTACAGGTATCCTATCTTGGAATAGCCTGCCTTAGGTTAAAATCAATTGCCTAATTTAGGCGGGACATATGCTCTACCGTAAGCCCTGCTTGGCGCATTGGCTGAGCTGTAGGAGACTGGCCAGGCCCTTGAGTGTGCAAACACTGCTGTGGAGGAGTCTGTGGCTAGAGGATCTAGATATGTCTCTTGGATTAAGGCATTTCAGCCTGTTGATATTTTCTAGGCACACTATCATTACTTTCTGGTAACCATTGCTGAGTGGCTCCCTGGATTTTTCAACCTCTATGGGACACTCCTTGAGATGACGACAAAGGCCACCTCTTCTTTTCAGACTATATTCTTCCTTAAGAAATTTCATTCATACAATGACTTCAATTATACACGTACTCTTTCATGCTTTCAGCCTTGTCTTCTAGTCTGAGCTCTGGAACTCAAAGATGCTTTAAAGGCAACTGATTAAAAACACACATTAGACTGAGCTTGTGAAGTGAAAGTTGCTCAGTCGTGTCCAACTCTTTGCGACTCCATGGGCTATATAGTCCATGGAATTTTCCAGGCCAGAATACTGGAGTGGATAGCCTTTCCCTTCTCCAGGGGATCTTCCCAACCCAGGGATCAAACCCAGTTCTCCCGCACTGCAGGTGGATTCTTTACCAACTGAACTACCAGAGAATGTAGCTATAAAACCTGATTTTCTCCCAGGCACAGACACCACCATCTACCCAGGGGCTCAAGTCAGAAACCTGGGCATCATCTATGACCTTATCTCATTCCCCATATCCAATCCATTATTAAGTTCTCTTGATTTTACCTCCATGATATTTCTGGAGTCTGTCCTTTTCTCTCTAACCTTACCCCTACCACTGTAGTCTAAGCTGCTGCTATCTCCCTCCTGAGAAAGTTGTATTGCCTCCTAACTGGTCTGTGTGCATCTGTTTTTACTTCCCTTCCATTCATTTTCTGACTAACTGTAGTGTGCTCTTTTCAAAGGCATATCTCGTGCTAACATATTTTTCCCTCAGGGATGCTTTCTCAGCCCTTCACATCACTTATCACTGTAGCAATTTTACAGTTTTGAGTGTGATTCCTCAATTATTGTCTGTCTTTCCCTGTAGACTGTCAACTCTTGGGGAGTTGTAGCTATATCTGCTTTTGCTTATTTTTCTCCCATTTCTAGCCCTTAGTGTGACATGTAGCACATAGTGAGCCTCCAGCAAATATTTCCTGTAATACTTAGCACAGAGCTTCGTTCTTAGTCTGTGCTCAATAAATATTAGGTATTTATTTTTTTAATTTGTTTTTTATTGGAAGATAATTGCCTTGCAATATTGTGTTGGTTTCTGCCATACATCAACATGAATCAGCCGTAGGTATACATATGTCCCCTCCCTAATATTAGGTATTCATAAATAGCAAATATCAATGGAGTAAACTGACATCAATTTTTGAAAATGGATCAACAGTCAGTTATCAACCTATCTAAAAGTACAAAGGAAGTCTACAAACCTCTGTTTTCCGTGGGAGCTAAAGGAATTCTTGTCAGGGTTTTTAGCTGCAGGTGACAGAAGCTGAGTCTGGCTGATTGTGCAGGGAAGGAGTTTTTAAAAAATGTATTGGGGAATTCACACAATTGTTGACAGGGCAAAAGAACCAGGCTAGAGGCTAAACTTCCAGAAACATCCTATGACTATTCCGTCAGACTAGTCTGATGGGGATGTGCTGCCGCCACCATGCACTTGCCGCTGTAATCTGTTCTGCTGCGAAGTCTACACCAGGAACTAGACTTGCTCCTTGACCAGTGAGTATAATTGGCTAGCCCAGGTCACGGGTCTGCCCTGCTCTGCAAGGGAGACAGGAAAGTGGGCTGCTCTCCAAACATAAGACACATATCTAAAAGATGTCAGGCATCCACCAGCATGACCGATGTCCTCTCCAAATGGACAGTCATAAAGTCTTCACTTGCCCCTGGATGGTGATTGGGCATCTGAACATAGGGGTGTATCAGTAAGTATAGTTATACAGGTGACTAGTAAACCCTTGGCCCGGAGTTCTCCAAAATCTTTTCCTACTTGTATACCTGATCTTATATTTCACTGTTAGATGCTTTAGTTTAACCATCTAGAAAATTAATGTAAGGCTATCTACCAAATGCTGAGAATCAGCACTAATAGTAATGTATTTTGAGGTCCTGGGATAAAAAGCACTTCAAAGATTTAGTGTATCATTATTTAAAATAGATTATATCTAATGAATATGCTAAGTTTAAAGGGCTTGATGGCTTCTTAGGATGCAAAATGGGCAATGCCTGGTATATTAGCTTAATAAAACCAGTCCCGAAGATGTTTGCCTAACTCTTCTGCCCGCTCTCCTGTGGGCTTTAGAAGGCAGAAATATGCAGGAATGGTAATGGGCATAATCAGTCACAATATACAAGCTTATTACATTGGCTGCTTGCACAGTCGGAGCCTTCTAAGGCTAATCACAGCCCTTTTGCAGAATTCACTGGGCTGGACTTTCTACCACATCCTCATGCCAGGTAGGCAGGGCAAGAGGCAGAGAGAGAAACTCCAGAGGAGGCCCCCTGATGGCACCATTCACCTACATGCAATTCAGCGTGAGAGAATCACACGTGAAAAACACAAATCTCTTTTCTTTGAGTCGTGGGATCTGAAATCTTTTCCAACAGGATAGTATCAGCAATTGAATTCCTCTTATACCTCCCCTTTCTTTTCTTTTGCAGTTCTATCTTTTAAAGCCTGGTACCCATAACTCCATTATTCCCCAGGGCTACCAATCAGTTCTTTGTCACTGACTCTTCTTCAAAGAATGGCAGCCCCAACCTCTTAATCCCTCTTAACCTCTTGCAGCCTCCCTCTTCTTTCCTGCATCGCTCTCCCCAGAAACGCCTTCACAGATCTCATCCTTCCCTGGGCCACTCCACCTCTTCCCATTCATCTATCTAGTCTCTAGATTTCCAAGATAAGGTCATGATATGTCTGTGTCTCTTCTGTTTCCTATCTGTAGCAAGCCTTGGTCATTTTTCCTTTCTTCCTTTCATCAGCTGAGATATCTATGCTGTTCTGGTAATAGACCACATTTCTGCAAGCACAGTGAATCTTGTAACAGGCTCTCATGTAATGAAGTGCTTTTTATGGACTCTGGCAGGTTCTCTTTGCCTGTCAATAAAATGGGGCACATAAGGACAGGTATATTGGGCTCCTGCATTGCAGTATACCAGCTGAGCTGAGCTCAGCCTGGGAATAATTTAGAGAGACTCTGAGCAGCAGAACTTCCCTGGCGGCTCGGATGGTAAAGAATCTGCCTGCAGTGCAGGAGACCTGAGTTCGATCCCTGGGTCAGGAAGATCCCCTGGAGAAGGAATGACTACCCACTCCAGTATTCTGGCCTGGAGAATCCCATGGACAGAGGAGCTTGGTGGGCTACAGTCCATGGGATTGCGAAGAGTAGAACACGATTGAGCCTCTTTCATTTTTTGAGCAGCTGCAGCGGCTAACAACCCCAATATGCCCAGTTCATTTGGTGGCAAGCTTATGAAGGGGAAAAATCATCTAGAGGACCTTTTTTGGGATCAGTCCCTAGATGCAGGGGCTCAAAACAGGTTTTTTGAGCTGAATTTGACCCCTGAACCACCAGTGATTAACAAGAGGGGGAAAGGCACAAAAGCCTCCCCAAATGGCATACAAATTACAGTGGGGTGGCCATCGACTGTGAGGATGTTAGTGGGAGACTGAGCATTTATTGAAAAATCTTTTGTCAGTCAGATTTATTTTCATCTTTCTTTATAAGATGTGATAGTTTTGCATCAGCGCATCTAAATGAAATAATTTACTAAAGGTCAAATGCAATTCCCTCCAGCCAGCTTTCATTTACCTCCTAATTAATAACTAAATGTTCACACATACATTAGCCTCAGGCTCATGCATAAAATAATAACTGCCACTTATTGATCACCTATTATATTCCAGGCATTTTAATACATTATCTCAAATTCTCACAAACCCAGAAGGTAGGAATACCCCTTTAGTAGAGAAGGAAAATGATGCTTGAAGAGGCTAAGGGATCTGCCCGTGGTCATGCAGATGAGTGTGTGAAGCCCAGAGCTCTGTGCTTTTTCATACCATGCTGTAGGGCAGCGGCTTCCTGCAAAGGTTTGATGCCTTGTACTGTCTGCTGTCACTGACGAACGGGAAGATGAGAGATGAGTATGGAAGACTGGGACTTTGTGACTCAAACACTCCCTCACTGGAGGAAGCTGCATTGCCCAAAGCTTGCGCTCTTTGATGGTTGTCATGGTGCTAATAGCTGCATAACTAAGGTGGGGACCTGGGAGAGAGGGGCCAGAAAAGCCTCAGGAATGATGAAAGCTTCAGGAAATGGGTCCTCTGAGAAATCTTTGATTCTACTGAGCCAGTGCAGGCTGAGCTTCTTTAAGAAGGGATATGTCTCTGTACGTCTCAGCTCGTGTTACTTCTCTGGGTGAATGGGTACCCTGGTGAAGTGAAGTGAAGTTGCTCAGTCGTGTCTGACTCTTTGCGACCCCATGGACTGTAGCTCATCAGGCTCCTCTGTCCATAGAGTTTTCCAGGCAAGAATACTGGAGTGGGTTGCCGTTTCCTTTCTCCAGGGGATCTTCCCGACCCAGGGATTGAACCCCGGTCTCCCGCAGAGACCCGCATTGCAGGGTAAAGCAGACGCTTTACCTTCTGAGCCATCAGGAAAGCCAAATGTGCCGTTGAGCCCCTTGTTTTGGGGGGTGAGGGTGGGCAAGAATACCACTCCTTTCTCCAGGGATCGAACCCAGGTCTCCCGCACTGTAGGTAGAATGCTTTACCGCCTGAGCTACCAGGGTATCCTGGTAGGGCAGTGAAAAACAGATCTTTCTCTGCAGAATCTAGGTAAGAAGGCACTCCTACTTTCCTGTTGACCTATAGTGGCCCAGGCACTCTAGGAAGGGAAATTACAAAGATTCTCTGCATTAGGCCTGTCCTGTTACAGGGAACTCTCATACGATGGAGGGAGGGAGAGAAGGCATGTGCATATTTGGAAGGGGGACAGATGCTGTCCAGAGCAGGGTTCCTTTCCGCTCCATTCACTTTTCTTCCCATGTCTTCTCAACTGAGGGAAAGGTTGCAGTAAAGTCAGAAGAATATGTTTTTAACTGCTAGGGCAGATTTGGACATGCCTCACCTGGAGAGGCAGGTGAATAGGGAAAAATTGGTAACAAAACAGTGATTTCTTAATCATAGGCATTAACAAATTAGTTTGAAGTTAATTATCAGGTCACTACTTCTAGAGAGAGGCAGGCAGAATTGAAAAGTTGGTAAAATGAGTTTCTGTAGCTTTCCAACCACTCCTCTGGGTTTTGTTTCCATGTATTCTGGACTTCAAAACTCTAATAATTAATTAGCCATTATACCAGTCCACTGCTTATTTTTCTTCCACATAACTTTGGTTTTGAATTTGTAAAATTCATCCAAGTTTCTTTTTATTCTCTTAATATTTTAAATTGAGTAAGTTAAATTATGAAATATTTATTGAGTAGTTATTTGACATCATATTTAAATGATAAAATCGCTAGCCTCTGACCTCTCAGAGTTCTCCTTCCCTTTACGCCTGAAATATTGGTAAATGTCCATTAGGTGGTAATTCCTTGCTCCAGATGCATAGATCCAGAACATTATGTGGTACATAAATTATAGGAGTATTTTCTCAAAAGTAAGATGTGAATTCCTTGCATCAAATCACCTAAGACGTATTTGCCTGTTAAAACACAGAGTCCTGCACCCCAGCCCTATATTCACCTGTCAGACTTTCGGGGGCCTTAGGTTCAGGAATCTCCATTTTTAAACTTTCCTTCATTTGTGCATGCTCAGTTGCTTCAGCTATGTCCGACTCTGTGCAACTCTGTGAGCTGTAAACTGCCAGGCTCCTCTGCCCATGGGATGTTCTAGGCAAGACTGCTGGAGGAGGTTGCCATGTCCTCCCCCAGGGGATCTTTCAGACCCAAGAATTGAACCTGGGTCTCCTGCATTGCAGGTGGATTCTTTACTACTGAACCACAGGGGGAGCCATTTCTTGGTGATTCCAATGCAGATAAGTTTTAAGAATCACTCATTTTGAGAAAAACTGAAATGCAAATAAGAAAATCTAAACATAACTCTTAAAATAGTAAAGGCAATACAGAAAGTGGTATGTTGTAGAGAACTTAGAACAACGTCCAATGAACTATTGAGCAAAAATCTATGTTCAGGTTAAGTTCTTTGTCCCACTAGACTTTTGATTATCATTAATTACTGTTCACTTGTAACCTGACTTTTCCTTTTTTCCCTTTAAGCAAAACTTCCCAATTTTCAATTACTCGTAGAGTGTAGACTAATCCCTTGGCCTCTCCTCACAAGCTACTGGCATCTCATCCTACAGCTTTTACTGGAAACTTTTAGGGCACTGACCTCCTCCTAATATTATCTCATCACCTGGCCAAGATTCAGCCGGTCTCTTTCCCAAGAAAGCCTGGCTTTATTAATCTCATAAGAGTCCCTGGACTATCTTCCCGTTTCTGGTGCTTCATCACTTTGAAACAGAAAAAGAAATACATAAATAAGTAAGGATAAGACCAAGTGTAATTTGCATAAAATTAATTTTTTCCAGTAGGGAAAATGTTCTTTTGGCAACCAAATCACACCTTTCCTCCTACCACTGTTTCTTCCAGATGTGACAGAGGAATTATTTTTACTTAGCTGGATGATTATTCTTCAGCTAAATTAGCAACTACACAAATCCCAGCTGTTTTATGTCCTTCTGTACTACTTTGAATATTGAATTTGTAAAAATCAACCTATCCTCTTTTCTCTCTCTCAGTATTTTAAATTTGAACAATCCAAACAAGCTTTAAAGCATTTAGTGAGTAGTTACTCGACAATATCACACAAATACTTTTAGGCCTTCCAGGGCAATATATTAAGCTGATCTGCAAAATGTTTCTCTTTTACTATATTCAAGACATTTTGTTTTCACTTTGCAACTCTTGATGAAGAAATTTAGTGTTGGTTTTATTTCATCTCTAGCTTCTGCCTCTTGGGAAAAGAATTTCTAGCAATGATCACCAAGTGTCAATAGAATAAAAATCACTTGAATATTTCATTGGTTGGCTTCTGAGAGGGGTTGGATTGTCATGATGAGATATTACTTGTATAACCTGACCATTAAGGATTATGGTAATACATCAATTTACTGATGAGTCATTCATTCATTCATCATTTCAATAAACATATATCAAGGATCTATTTTGCTTTTGTAGCATTTTAGGTGCTGGGAAAGAAAGATAGATCTGAAATTGGCTTTTCCATAAAAGTAATCACCACAATTTAGGGGAGGATAAACGAAAAAAAAAATAGACTCTATGTATGTATGTATACTTCTCTCATATAGATACTTGGTTCCTTGTGTCCTAGGCAATTCAGGAAGGCAAAAATTCCCAAGGGAATATTGGAGTTTGATCTGACTTTCATCCTATTTCTACAGCCAATTTGAATTGAGTCCTGGAGACTTCTTTTCTCAGCTAAAGAATGCCAACATCTGCCTCTGATTTTGAACTTCTGTGACCCTGGATTAGTTTATTAATTTATTGGTACTCTTGGAAGTAATTCCTCATCACTCCTCTTAACTACCTCAACTTTTTACATCAATTGGAGAGTTTGTGGGAAGTCTCCCAAGAGCTGACAAGTTGTCAAATTTTAAGAAACATTTCCAAGAAAAGGGGGTACAGGTCATACTAAACATTAACAAACATTACTGTGGGCTTTAAATAATGGTGAGCCTAGCACTCATTTGATCCAATGGCACAAAAGAATTCATAGCCACATCTATACAAATGAAAGTAGGAACTCTTACTTCCAGATTAGCCTTCGTGTGTTCTGGATTGAGGAAGATTTTTTTGGTGAAACAGTTGAGAAGAATTATTACATTTTAGTTCAGTATTACATAGATCATTTACATTAAAGTTGGAGCTGCCCTTCTGTGCTGTTAATGGTTAACATTGAGGGTTTGGGGGCCAGGATGTCCTTGTTCCAATCTGGCTCCATCTTTACTCTCAGGGTAATATCAGGCAAATTACTTTTCCTCTTTGAACTTCAGTTTCCTTACCTATAGAACAAGAAAAATAGTAGAACCTATTACCTCTAAGGGAATCGTGAGGATTAAATGAATAATTCCTTTAGTATGTTGTAGGTACCCAATATGTGCAAGCTGTTATGATTATTTGTAGTTCAGGAACAGTTCACGTTCTGCTTCCATTTTTTCCAGGTGGCATCAATCTAGAGACACACGAAGGTGTCTTTTTAAACTTGAAACATATTGCTATTACTGATCATTACTGTTATTATTGATACATTCACCCAACCTGCGATTTAAGGAGATTTGGAGTCCCTCTGCTCAGCTGAGTAGCATTCATTACCCTACAGGGAGCTGTAAAAGTAGGACTGGCCCACGTGCCCAAATAGGACTGGCCCACGTGCCCAAAGCCTAGCAAAGTTCAGGAGAGAACTCACAGATCACAGAGACACAACACTTTCTATTTTATTTGGCTTCCTAGAAATCTAAGTCCAGTGCCAAGCACATGAGTGGTGAGGAAGAGGACAGCTGTGGCTTCGGTCATCACAGTCAGATGGCTTTGTCCTCTGAGCTTCTTTCCATCCCAGCACCTCCACATGGCAACATGGAATCACTGAGAAATGTGAGTGGGAGCCCACGTATTGCTTAGAGTCAGCATGGTGCTCTCTATAGCCTGGGGACTTTTCTAATTTCATTTTTTGACTAGGTAACTGATTCACACACCTCACACATTAAAAAGTATAAATAGGCATAAAATGGACACTCTCCTTCTTCCTTCCTGCTAGTTCTCACCACCCCCATACGGAAACCTCATTATTTACTTATTTTTCAAAACGTTTATCTCTCTGTTGCACCAGGTCTTCATTGCGGGCATGCAGGATCCTTAATTTAGTTGCAGACTTAGCATGGGATTTTTTAGTTGCAGCATGTGGGCACAATTTCCCTGACCAGGAATCAAACCCGGGTCCTGTGCATTGGGAGCTCGGAGTCTGAGCAACTGGACCACCAAGGAAGTCCCTTGTTATTTGTTTCTTATTTAACATATTAGGCGTCCTGCATGGTAGCATCCCAGCACCACTGGCTTCGTGGGCGTGGAGTGTGAACGTGCCGGCGTCACGCAGGGCCCCAGAGTCAGGAGGGCCCTGCGCTTTGTTTAATACTCTGCTCCTGCTCTCTTGAAATTCTCTCTCTGTCTCTCTCTTTTAAATTGGAGCATAATTGCTTCACAGTGTGCTAGTTTCTGCTGTACGACAAAGTTAATCAGCCACATGTACACATACGTCCCCTCGCTCTTGAGCCTGCCTCCAGCACACGCCCTCATCCCACCCCTCCAGTCGTCAGAGACCCAGCGGAGCTCCCTGCGTGATGCAGCAGCTTCCAAGCAGCTATTTTACACATGGGAGTGTGTATGTCAATGCTCCTCTCTCAATTCGTCCCACGCTCCTCTTTTCCCACTGTGTCCACACATTTGTTCTCTGTGCCTCCATCTCTATTCCTGCCCTGCAAATCGGTTCGTGTGTACCAAGTTTTTCTCTTGAGATTCCTAATTTCTGAACCACTTCAGTTTCATCTTGCAGTGGGCCCTGCAACTTAAAGAACCTGTCCCATGTGCTAGGCATGGTTCCTTACTTTGCTTTTTTTGTTTAACTATACATCTTTTTTTTTTTTTTCTTGCTTTCTCTGGCGTGGCACAGCATGTGGGATCTTGTGTCTCTGACTAGGGACTGAACCCAGGCCCTCAATAGTGAAAGCACAGAGTCTTAACCACTGGACCACCAGGGAATCCCCAAGATCTTTTTATATTTATACATAAAGAGTTTTCTTCCTCCTCCTCCTCCTTCTTCTTCTTAGGGTCGCCCAGTGGTCTATCCGTGAGGATTTTAAAAAGTATATACATGGCTACCTTAGAAATCCCTAAAGAGATTCCTGTCCCAATTTTCCAGTCCTTTGATGCTTCCAAACTTGGGAGAGAGAAAAAGATTGGTTGAGAGAGATACCAGAAAATCTTCACTCTGGCAAGGTCTCTCACTTGCATACGTGCTTTTAAAAAAGTGAAGGTGAAAGTATTAGTCACTCAGTCATGTCCAACTCTGCAACCCCATGGACTATAGCCTGCCAGGCTCCTCTGTTCATGGGATTTACTAGGCAAGAATACTGGAGAGGGTAGCCATTCCCTTCTCCAGGGGATCTTCCTGACCCAGGGATTGAACCTGGGTCTCCTGCATTGCAGGCAGATTTCTTACCATCTGAGCCAAAACCCTCAGAAGTAACTCTCATTTCTTCATCAGCTTCCTGACCAGCAGTGTCCCCACTCCGGTAGATTTTTCCCTTCCACCTCCACCCCACTTTACCTTTCTTCCCCCTAGTTACTGAAATGCTTGACAAGGCTTCATCTGGGCTCCATCAGTCACTGCAAACTACTTCTGTCTTTGTCTCCTGTTGTTGTTGTTTGGTTGCTAAGTCATGTCCAACTCTTTTGTGACCCCATGGACTGTAGTACCATCAGGCTTCTCTGTCCATGGGATTTTCCAGGCAAGAATACTGGAGTGGGATGCTATTTCCTTCACCAGGGGATCTTCCTGACCCAGGGATCGAACCTGCATCTTCTGCTTTGGCAGGCAGACTCTTTATCATCTGAGCCACCAGGGAAGCCCGTCTTTGTCTCTACCTGAAGACAAATACTTTGGGTTGAAGGACATAGTGGCCACCAGGGACCCACTTTAAAAATTCCCCTTCCATTCCTTTTGTATTCCTACCAGTCATCATTCATGGGTAAATCCATGGTCATGGCGCAACAACCTGGCAGCTTTTGAGAAGACAACGTAGACCCTTGGTCCTGTGGAATGTCCCCACACCGAGAAGTCACCAGCGTAGTGTCCTGAGGCTCCTAACTTATTTTGAAGCAACTAGGACGTCTGTCTCCATTATAGACTTGCTGCATCCCCAAAGCCCCCTCTGGGAGTTAGAGATGCCTGCTCACTCATTCAGGAAACAGCCCTGCAGAGTAGGAACATCTCCATAACCTTTCTGAGCAGCTGTCCCTTTGGAAAGAACAGAGCTTCATATGTAGCCCACGTTCCCCGAGAGGCTAGTGCTGGGAGCCCGGTACATAAGCACAGGTCCTGTCTGTCACCCTCCTCTGCCCATGGCTTGAGTTTAAGGTCATAGGTGCACATCGTTGCCTTGGACTTAGCTGTTCTGATGTGAGAGGTAAGGGATTGTGGCCCCCCACCGAGCCCGGAGAGATGCTGGCAAACGGAAGCACATGGCTAGCATTGAGCCTTCGCCCTTTCCACAGCTGCATGGTGCTCCTACTGGTGTGTACTCATGTGATGCAGACACACAGACGTGAACGGTGAGGCAGATGGGTGGGAGAAGGTCCACAGCCTTGTTATGTTCCCGCCCCAGCTCCTCCCCAGCGAACCGCAAACGTTCAACGGCTTTCTGCTCCTTGCTTCTATCAAGCCATGCCCTCGACACCTGAAAGGAAGATGAACTACCTGCTAACAATGCACTTTTGGAATCCAGTTCTGCTACCAGGGAAGCAACCAGTTGCCCCGAGATTCCACCAGGAGAAAACAAGCCTGCAATTCCAATTAAACACCGTATTGAGTACTTCAGTCTCACTACACTCTATTTGTTTACTTTATTTGAATGTTTGATAAGAGAAGTGCTGGGGTGGCAAGAAGTAATTAAAATAAGAAAGAATGATCTTAAGAGAGAAAGGGGGAAAATGCTAAGCAGCCATGGCTGCTTTCTCCCCACACCTGCCAGCAATTAATTAATCACTAATCTGTTCGTTATTTCCAACTCTGTTCCTTGGAAAAACAAATAAGGTTATTATTTTTAAATCTCTAATTAAAACATGTTGAAAGGCAATCTCTAAAATGGGTTTGGCCAGGGCTAATCACATCTGTAATAAGGTTGGGGGGACGCTGAGGTACATACAGTCTAGGGTCTTTCTGGACTTGGGGGGATTTTTTTTTCCCCAAACGGTTTTGCTTTTAGGGCTTTTTTTCTTCTTGGTTCCCCCGGGGCGGTTTTTCCCCCGGGTGTCAGTGGGCATGGCAGGGTGAGAGTGTCCACAGTAGCCTCTTCTGCCTTCCCGCAGCGGGTGGAAGGGGGGGAGGGTTTGCCGGCACTCATCCCGGGCTGCTGGATCGAATGGCTGTCTTTATAGCAGTGTGGTGTGTGATAAGTCGCTTCATGTCTGACTCTTTGCGACCCTGTGGACTGTAGCCCACCAGGCTCCTCTGTCCATGGGACTCTCCAGGCATGAATCCTGGCCTGGGTTGCCAAGCCCTCTTCCAGGGGATCTTCCCCAACCCAGGGATCAAACCTGTGTCTCCTGCATTGGCAGGAGGATTCTTTACCACTAGCGCCACTTGGGAAGCCTCCATAGAAGTGTTCTTGAGACATAATTCCCATCCACAAACATTCACCCTGGATTATGCTTTAATCCCCTGCAGTGAATTCAGTGCTGTAGCTCCGCTTGGGCTGAGGCCGGCTGGACAGGGTTCTGTGTGTTTTGTACATTTCCCTGTAGAGTCAAGGCCAGGGTCCACCCCAGAGCCGGCAGCCCACACAGCTGCTCCTCTGCCTGTTTTTCTATCACCTACTCGCCCTTCTCTGCTCTTGGCAGCCGAGCACCTTTCCCCAAAGTGATTTACAGTGATGTGTGTCAAGATGGGTCTGACACTGATTGAGTCCTCTATCTCCCTCCTGTGTGCTCCCAGATGACAGCCTCGCCCCCAGGTATCAATCAAGGCCTCAGCTCCCCGCTCCTGGGTGAGCCAGGGGCTGTCAGGGATGCATTCCGGCTGGCATCTTCATCAGGATCGCCACCTGCCCTTCATGGCTTGAAGAGTCTTTCTAAGGCATGCAGTGGGAACAGAGGTACACACACCATTCCCAACCAAATCATCACAGCTTGGGATGAGTCTATGTGTTTTGCACAAATTTGGAGAATCTGGCTTCTAAAGGGCGCCATCGGGGATACTTACCTGCATCAGCTGTTCAACCTCCGAATCCCTGGCAGGGTGTTGATAAGGGGTGGTGACAGCCTCACCTGCCAAGCTTGCTTCCCATTCCCTAAGAAATCAACAAGCTGTCCTCTTAGCAGGGGCCGCGGTCACAAAGACAGCTTTGTGACTTCTAAGGCCGGTGCTTTAGAAGAAGGCAAGAGAAGAGTGCATGAGACAGGGGAGACATCAAGACACCAAATGAACCCAGGAATGGAGTGGGGGTGGAGACACAGCCTCTGAAGACTCCACGGGAGATAAAGACATGGAGGCCAGGGGGAATGAAACCGAACATCCGTCTAAGCCTGGCTTTTGAATTGGCCCCCAATGCAGTGACATTTTCTTTTTTGGCAGGTTTGAAAAAAAGGAGGAGAGGAGAAAATGTAGACTCTGACATTAAAGATAGATGGGGCTTAGACAAACTGAACAGTTTTGAAGGTTTCCCCAGCATTGGGGAGGCGAGGGCAGGTCTCCGTGGGGCATGTCTGGGAGAGATGTTCTCTCTTAAGTGCAGAGAAAGCCGTGTAATGAAGAGGCAGCTTCCAACCCAGGCCCAAGCAGGGAGCTGTGATATTTAACATCGTATTGGCTAGTGAGAGCGCTTTAGACTCACATTTGCAACAGGAACTGGACCGGGGCTCTGAGTGGTGAGGGGCTTGGCGCAGGGGCGAGGCCAAGGAACTGAGTTTTCTGGCCTCCTGGAGAAGGCACCAGTGCAGATCCCCCTCTCAGGCATAGCCCATCTGACCCGGGCCTGGCTTTGCATTTGACTTTAAAAGCAGATTGGGGCATTGGCCCCTCTGCATGTGAATGGCATCCGAAGGAACAGAAATCTCATTAAAGAAGAACTCTTGACCCATCTGTCTGCATGCTTCTGACTCTCTGCTAACCTTCCATTTGTGACCTGTGATTGTTTAATGTGGAGACTGGAGAAGAGGAAGAGGAATGAGACGATGACAGCCTGTGACACTGACGAGCAAGGACTTGGAAGGCCGCTCAATCTATCGCGTCCTCTTGGCCACCACAAAAGGGAGACTTCCTGTTCCCATCACCCCAGATTGTGCTGGCCCGGAGCGGCTCCAGGGCCAGTGTGTCTCCCACAGTCTCCAGCACGGGTTCCAGACTGGCACCTGCCTGGTTCTCCATCTGTCCATGCTTGTGTCAGGAGAGGTTAGAAACACCAGAAAACCTGGGGGCCAACAGAGACAAGGCCAGGCACATCTATGGGGAATCGCACACACCCAGGCTGGAAAACAGACGATGCGAACAGCTAAGAAAAAAGGCCCAACTTTGCTTTCACGTCATCGATGGTTGTCAGGCCACAGAGGTCATAGCTGGTGCAGACTGCAAGGGAAGAATTTCACGTGACACCTAGGTCGAATCTGCTTCAGTTGGCCTTGGCTGCCACTGTGACCCCCTTTTTGATGAGTATGGCTGAATTAACTCCCCCCTCGCCGCCTTTGGGCTCCCCTCCCGCCAGGCCACACAAATTGAAATAGTGGGGTGGCAGGTGGTGAGGTGGGGGCTGTGTTGGGGGGGGGACCGCAGGGACCATCCATCTCGTTAATGTAACGCTTTCTTATGTGATGGGAGCTGAGAGCAGGCTGTAATGAATTTCTCCTCCGGTAATCATTCACCAGTGCGTTGTGACCCGTGTGTTTTTGCTGTGCTCCACATTTCCAGACGTTCACAGGGACTTGTCAGCACCTACTAAAAATGACTTGGACATGACCCATCTCTTCATGCGATGCCCTCCCCAGCTGCCTTTCGTCTCGCAGGAGGGAAGGAGTAGGTGGGACCGCCTGGACCAGCAGCCGTAGCGTCCGCGGCGGTGGTCTGCTTTCAGGCCCATCTCGCCGGCAGATCAGCGCAGGCATGCCAAGTCTGGGCGCTCCTGTTAGACTGAGCCACGTTCTTTGGTCCAAATGGTTCCAAAGTGGCCTTTGCCTTTTGCACCTGTTGTTTCTTGCTGCACAATGCACTGTGCAGGCAGCTTCTTTCATTGAGAAGACACGGGTGCAAATGGTGGTACAATTAGGCATCTGGGCACTCCATGGGTTCTTACCAACTCTGGTGTGAAGATGCATTGATGGCAGGGGACAAGGCTATCGTCTGAGTCATATGCATGAGTGTCACCATCTGTGACTGTAATTCTAGCCACGTGGTCAATTGTAAGAAGGGGTTTATAACCAGCTTTTACTGCATTTGTGGATCACGATGATTAAACAACAGATGGGAAACCCAACCAAGATTTCTAATCTCCACCTCTTCACTGATGGAGTGAGTGAAGGCTGAGGGAGTCACTTCATGGCCTGTGTCTAGGGCTGAGTCTATAATTAGGGTAGGCAACCCCCTGGCTTTCTGTGCCTGGCTTGTACACTCATTCTTATCAGACCACAGGCGTTGATGTTTGCTTTTGAGAGGATGGTCCCAGAATCCTGGAAATGTTCTAGGGAGCCCATGGTGTACAGGAAGCTTGTCAGTGAGGGCTGCCAGATAAAATGCAGGATACCCAGTTGAATTCAAATTTCGGATAAACAATAAATACCTTTTCAGTTTAGGTGTATCCCAAGTATTACATAGAGTTTTTCCTTTGAGAGAAAAATGCTTTTAAAGTATTGTGGGAAATTTATATAATGTAAAACTGACTATTTTAACCCTAAGTATAATTCAATGAAATGAGGTACATTTACAATGCTATGCAACCATCAGGACTATCGATTTCCAGATCTTATTCAACGTGCCAAATTCTGTACCCATTAAACCCCCAGCAGCCATTGGTAACCTCTAATGTACTTTCTCTTTGAATTTGCCAATTCTTAGTATCTCACTTTTTTTTTTTTTTTTTTTTTAGTATCTCACTTTTTAATGTATTAGGTTGGTGCAAAAGTAATTGCAACTTTTGCATTTTGGAAATTTCAGTTTGATACCGGAATACATTCTTAAGTAAATGTGATTATGTTATACATCATTTTAATGCACATTTCTCACTTTATTTATTTTTTTTGCTAATGACATTACTTACTATTTATTTATTTATTTTAGACTATGGAAATGATGTTAGACAAAAAGCAAATTCGATCGATTTTCTTGCTTGAGTTCAAAATGGGTTGTAAAGCAGCAGAGACAACCTGCAACATCAACAAGGAATTTGCCCCAGGAGCTGCTAATGAATGGACAGTGCATTGGTGGTTCAACAGGTTTTGCAAAGGAGATGAGAGCCTTGAAGATGAGCAGCATTGTGGAGCCTTTGAAAGTTGATAATGACCAACTGAGAGCATCACTGAAGCTGATCCTCTTACAACCACGTGAGAGGTTTCTGAAGAACTCAGTGTCAACCATTCTATGGTGGCTTAGCATTTGAAGAAAATTGGAAAGGTGAAATAGTTTGACAAGTGGGTGCCTTGTGAGCTGACTGAAAATTTAAAAATAATTATCTTTTTGAAGCATCATCTTCTCTTATTCTATGCTTCAATAACAAACCATTTCTCGATCAGATTGTGACACGCGACTAAGCGTGGATTTTATGACAACTGGCAACGACCAGCTCAGTGGCTGGACTGAGAAGACACTCCAAAACACTTCCCAAAGCCA